GCATCTTTGCATTGCTTTCTTCTCAGTGCTGCGTTGGGATCCCTCACTGCTGTTATCACTGTTCACATGCCTGACCTTTTAATAACCCCCAGCCCAACAAGTTTACCTTCCCTCCAGCCCAGCCAGCTACCCAACGGGCAGACCCTTCATAATCACGTTTCCAACATTCTGTGTGCCCAGTAGCCCCTACACGCATGGTATCCGCCCAGGTCCAGAACTCTTCAGACTCACTGGGATGGCTGTTTCCTGACCCGGTCCTTGCTGCAAGGCTGTGCTCCCCCTGCATTCATCCCTGCACCCCCACTCCTCCCCTCCCCTCCCCCCGGCCCCACTCTCTGGTTAGATTCCTGTGTCACAGACCACGGCAGCAGTCTTGTTCACCCCCTTGCCGCTCCGTATCTGCCACAAATCACCAGTCCTGCTGGCAGCCAGCTCTGCACCGTTTGCCGTGGACCCAAACACGCCAGCGCCATCTTCACTGTGATAACTGCTCCTCCATGAGCTCGTGGCAGTGACTGTCAGCCGGTCTGACAGTTCTGATCTTCCCTGCCACACTCCCCCTTTGATTCTGGAGAATCATCTCACATTTTCTTCTTAGCGTCTCCTATCTCTAATGTCTCTCTTCACATCAGCTAATGCAGAAAGGGAATTAGATGAGATGAGAAACAGAAATTTTATCAGACACCCCCACCTGCACCTGTCACCATCGGCCTTGTAGTCTGCGGGTTGGTGGACGGACTGCCTTTGTTCCCGCCTCAGTCCGGTCCTCCTCTGTCGTTTGTGTCACAGTTTATGTACATTTCCTCTTGTTCTGTGTTATCAAGTTCTCTCTTATTATTATTTCTAGTGATGTGTTCTATAATACAGATCTTAAAAATTAAACTCCACCTTGTCCCACTTGCACTCCATCTTGTATTTACAGAATGAAATGTTACTTAAACCTGCTCATTGCCCTTTTAGTAATGCAAATTGAATCCTTAGGTGCCAGGAACAGTCTCCTGCCATGCATAGAGCAGAAAGCAGAGCGGAGGTGTCATTACTGCCATGGTGGTTATGTCACAGGAGAAAGAAACAACCAAGTAAAAATGCAGTCTCTGTGATGAGAGTGAGTGCCACAGAAGAGAATACAGGGCCTGAAATGGCCTAGGGAATGGGAGGAGCTTGCTGTTTTCATTAGTCTGGAAGTGCAGACTCACTGGGAAAAGTAGTGTTTGAGCAAAAGATAAAGAATTGAGTGTTCCGGTGCCACCAGTGCAGCCAACACCAAGGCATGGGAGACTTTGGACTTGGAGGTTTCATTTGAGAGAAATAGGAAATAACTGAATGCGTTTTGATAAAGTGATGCTTGTTTTTTTCTTTCCTTTCTCTAGACAGTGTCTCACTATGTAGCCTAGGCTAACCTTGAACTCTTAATCCTCCTGCCTCAGAAAGTTAGGATTATAGATGGGTACCACCACCATTGGCCTAATGATTCTGGACACTAGGCTGAGAATATCTAGCCTATAAGAGGATGATGGTTGGAACAGGATGACCACTGTAAAGGCATGACAGATTATTAGTTTAGCCCAAAGTAGTCGAAAGTCTGGTGGGGCGTAGTTGAAATACAGAACTTGATCAAGTAGAACTGAAAGGGGCAAAAAGGTCAGGGGTAACTGCAAGCCCAAGCCTCTGCAGGACTGGAGTTACAGTTTATAATATAAGGAATTGTGTGGGATGAGCATGTTTAAGGAACTCACAAAGAGTTTGCATTGCACGTTTAGATTGAGCTGCCTTCAAAACATCCAAGCAAAGATATATATATAAACAATTGATTGTATGAATCTGTAATTCAGGGTCCAATCACCATCCACTGTGTTCGTATTGGTCCTGTCCAAATCATAAATATTCACTGGGAAGAGCTCAGCATCAAGGACAATTTCATGTTTAACTGGGGAAAAAGGTAAGAATGGAGGCAAAAAATATCACCAAGCTATATCAAGATGTAGAATATTGTACTATTAAGAGATCCACAAAGAAGGCCAAGGGACACCCATTTTGCCTTGGAGGAACACCAAGAGATTTTGATGCCCCAGAGTGTAGCTGAGAATGTGTTTCAAAATATGTATGGAGTGGGGTGTGGGTAACAGTTCAGTTAAAATGATGTGGCCACTGGTTTAACAAGATGGTTGTCATCGGTGGCCTTAACAAAAGCTATTTGCATAGAATTATATAGTCAAAGCTTCGTTGAAATGTGCTTGGGAACGAATAAAAGAAGAAACATTAAGATCAAGAATAATTGATAACATTGAGGTTAATTTTTTTAATAAAGGAGACAAAAACATCAACAAAGTTAATAAAGGATTGAGAGGTTTTTTTAGGTTGAAAAAATTAGTTACATATTTGTATTAACAAGATCAATCTAGTTGTAGAGGGGAAATTTGCTCCATAACGAAGGCAAGGGAGAGTTGTTGGACCCACTCTTTGAATGGAGAAAGAGAGCTCTGTGCACAGAGGATGAATGCTGGCAGCCCCGGCCAGAGAATCCAGCCACAGTGAGCCATGGCATGTGAGCAGAGGTGCCAGAAGGTTAGTTGATAGACTCAAGAGCACAAGTCTTTTCTGGCTGCTTTGTCTCCTGTGGGAAGTAGGAAATAAGGCTAGTGGTGGAGAATAAGAAAAGCAAGGAGGCATTGGAGTGTTGACAGGAGAGGAGGTGTGAAGTCATTCTGTGAGGAATGCACAGTGCATTGATGTGCAGGTGCAGCAGGCGCAGCAGGTGCGGCAGGTGAGACAGGTGCAGCAGGTGCAGCAGGCAAGGCAGGTGCAGCAGGTGCGGCAGGCTGGCGTTCTGAGAGAGATTTATAACTATTTTATACAGAGTACCATATTCATCTTTCTCTTGTACTACCATTCTTAATTGTTCTGAATTAGGATTTTGGAGACATCTCCATCTTTCTCCATTCCTCTGCTATTTAGAGAATAGTAGTGTAAGTGTGCAGACGTACACACACATACATATGAGGAAAGTATTGTCAGAGCTGACTTGTAGTTGTGGACATCTAGATGTTCTACCATCTCCCATATGCTGTCTGAAGAAGTGGGGAGGCTGGCGGTGTGCTTCAGTCCGAGTCCAAAGCCTGCAGACCGTGAAAGCCAATGGTGTCGCTCTCAACCTGCCGCAGAGCACAAGTCCTGAGGACTAAAGGGTTGTGGGTATGGGATTCTTAGAGACTAGAGGCCCAAGATTGAGAAGCTTTGTTTGCAGGAATAGAAAATGGGCATATCCCGACTTACGGGAGCAGTGGTGCACTCTGCCTTGTTGCTTTGTGTAGCTTTGTGTAGTCCTCAGAGGACTGGATTATCTGCACCCATGAAAACAGACCTGTCGAGTGTGAAGTTGTTCCAGAAACATCGAGATCCTTCTCGCAAGTAATGTTTAACCAGTTATTTGGGCAGTCACTAGCCCAGTCAAGTTTATTATAAACTTAACCATAACATGTTATCCTTAGCATTTATTACTATATAGCATCTTAGTCATTTGTTAATTTGTTTTGTTTCGTTCTTTTTCACTTAAAATGTAAAGCCTCATGAGAATACAACCTTAATCTGGTTTTGGTTACTGTTGTAGTGGAAGCCACTCCAAAGTTTTTGTTGTTGTTGTTGTTGTTGTTTTTCTAATTCATAATTGCATGAAAGAATAGATCCGCTTGCTCAGAGAGTGATGGGGATATTTTCAGTGAGGGTAACTGGTTTCCTGATATACATCAAGATACATCCTGCTGATACAGGAATCTGAGGATGTCCTTGAGAGTGACGCTGCCTTTCTTGGGTTCTTGGTGAGCTTGCCTTTGGGGATGGGGGTAATTGTCCCAGGAAGCAGCTGCCAAAGCCCCTGAGAGCTAGTGGTTTTAGGGTTCTCTTGTGAATTCAAAGAATGAAATGCGTGGAACCACACAGGGTAAGCGCTTAACAGGGGGGGAGCAAGCAGAGAACTCCTCTACAGCAGGAGGGGTCCCAGGATGTGGGTACCACCAAGCTGTCAGGATGGGGGCTTTTAAAGAACTTACAGCAGACACTGGGGTGCGTTGGGGGGCATTGAGCCTGTCAGTCCCACTGGCCACACCAGGGGCTCGAATGCCTTGGTCTCTTTTGTAGTAACTTTTCTTATGAAACAGTGTTATAAGTGATGAATGTCTAATAGATTTTAACTTCTACCCAGCCAGGAGTTTGCATATCCATTCCCTTATCTCCAGCGTCTGGTATTTTATAAATTCTTGTTGAAAGGAGAACAGGAGTGCTGAATGGTGGGTAATTTGGTGGATAAATGAAAGATTAGGAGGTCAGTGTCATAACCTGACCCAAACAACCCTACCTTTCATTTACTGGGAAAATAAATTACACCTTTTTCAATATTAAATAAACTAACCATTATTTTACTCAATGTTTGGGAACCTAACTGTACACTGTGAATATTAGAAAGATCAATCAGACATTGATCTTTGACTCATAGAGCTTTGGTTCCAAAGGGAAAAAAAGGGATGCATGCACAGATAATTAGAAGTCAGGGTAGAACTCTTAAGCATCACAAATATTAATAATATAATATTCTAAGAATTGCCTAAACAGGAAACATTTCATAGCACAGAGGTAATTTTTTACATGAATTCTATGTCAAAAGAAAATTTTTATTTGAAGAGCATGAGAAGTATGCAGAAACTTCTGATGTTTCTCAGGGAATTGCCTTCTCACTTCAGGTCTCTTCAAGCACACAGTCTGGCTATTGATGTCCAGTGTCACGTGTGATGTGCCCGTCTTTCCTTTCTTTGTGGTGACTGTCACTAACCCTGTTAAGTAACCATTGTGGTGTCTGTCCACTATTCAGTAGTGTATAACAGACAAGGTTGACGGAGACAACTTGTTGCATGGTGGCTATGGAGTGGGTGCACTCCATCAGGAAGTGGGGCACTTCTGCCCCAGTTATTGTATTAGCCCATTTCATATGGCTTGGCTTCTCAGCAATCTGGCCCTGCGTCAAGTAGATGGATATTTATAGGTCCCCGTGGCAGTGGAACACGTACCTACTCAGACATATGTGTAGACACCGCACGCATGCGAGCCTGTTTCCACCTGCCTGTGTTTCATTGATCGGACTGTTTCTACTGTTGGAGTCCCTTTCGAGAGCCCTTAAACCCAACGTATGTGTGCCCTCTCACAGCACTGTACGAGAACCCGTGTTTCTCCAAGTGTCTTGATTGCTTCCCCTTTGCTACAACAAGGTGACTGACAGAAGCCGTGTCTGGAAGGGAAGGCTTATTTAGGTTCAGAGGTCAGGGGTGCACCCTGTTAGGTCCCGGAGCTTGAAGAGGCGGATGTCGCAGTCCGGAAGCAGAGGGGGACGGATGCCTGCACTTAGCTGTTGTCTCCTGTCATGCACTGTGCGGCCCGTCCTCCAACCCCGTTAGCCAGTCCGGATGATCCCTCACAGACTGGTGTAGGCTTGTCTCTTCAGGGGTTCTAGAGCATGTCAAGCTGACAGTCCTGTCCACTCTACACTGAGGAAGTGGGGCGGACAGAGTGAGGTTTCCTGAGGAGCTGTGACTGCAGGCTCGGTTTGCACAGGCTGACAGAGCCGCTTTAGATGAGAAAACGGGTCCCAGCTGTTTCCTGATTTCACCAGGCTGCACAGCTGGAAAAGAAGGCGGGGAGGGGTCCGCCCTGGTTGAAGGCTCTTCCTGGTTATGTTTAGGAAGCCTGACTCTTTAGAGACAGTTCTCGGGCCTATTTCTAGCACTCAGTTACTATTTCCTGAACAGTTATAGTCTATACGAGACACAGAAAACATAATTACTGACTCGAAGGAGCTGAACACTTGTTTGGGTAAACAGAAGTCAAGAATGTGGGGAAAATTAGAGAAAACGTTAATCACCAGTCTCCGTGATTCCAACTGTTATTTAATAGGAGTTCGTTGAAAGGAGGGGCCTAGTTGGAGTGGTCTCTGAGTCTGCAGCCCTCATTCACTTCCTGCTAATTGCCTGCCTGGAATAGAAATTTCCGCTCTCCGTCCTATCACTGTACACAGAAATAGTTGATACTGCTTGTCCTGGGGCTTTCACTGCTGGGATGAAACACCATGACCAAAAGCAGCTTGGGGAGGAAAGGGTTATTCCACTTGTCCTTCTGGGTAGCAGTCCATCACCAAAGGAAGTCCAGGCAGGAACTCCAACAGGGCAGGAACCTGGAGGCAGGAGCTGATGCAGAGACCATGGAGGAATGCTGCTTACTGCCTTGTTGCCCATGGCTTGCTCAGCATGCTTTCTTATAGAACCCAGGACCACCAGCCAAAGATAACACTGCCCACAGTGGGCTGGGCCCTCCCCCACCAATCACTAATGAAGAAAATACCCTATAGGGTCACTTACATCATGATCTTATGGAGGCATTTTCTCAATTGAAGTTCCCTCCTCTCGGATGACTATACCTTGTGTCAAGTTGACATAAAACTAGCCAGCACCCTGCTGTTGATGTCATGTGTGATAATCATTATTTGTATATTATGTTCCCAATTATGATGGCATAATCGATTGTCAGATGAGTGGGATGTACAAAGTGTTCATAGTTGGAGAGCACATAAAGAGGCACCAGCTGTTTGATTGTCCCCCTTGAGTCACACTGAGATGTTTCTGCTCAGAAATGCCTTAAGATGAATCTTCTCTCAAAACTGAGATAGCTTGTGTGTTGGTCACACAAAAGTTGTTCTCAGAGACTTTTCTGTGGAACCTATTGTAAATGCTGTGTCTCCCACTCCCACCTCCGACACACACATGCCTTCCTGCATCACAGTAAGGAGGCAGGATAGCCAAATCACCTGGGAAGTACTTTCAAAAACTCTAGTAACGACAGTGATAACACCCACTCTGAAGGGCCGCTGGCCCATGCCAGCTCCACTGCTGGCCTCTAGCTTTCCTGCCTAGCTAGAGTGACTCAAGAAGGAGCTTTGGTCAAGGCTTTCCAATGTTCTGCTCCTGCCCCAGCGCCTGGGGTGCTCCCTGAGCAGGGAGGAGCACCAGAGTAGAAAGACACTGCCTGCTTGCTGTCTCCACCCCACCCCCGTGTCCCCTTCCGAAGGAATTAAATCCTCTTTCTGTTTAAGGGACTATTTAGCAGGCCTTTTGGTTCCTTTACCAAACTCCAGATTTGATAACATGAACTATTTGTTTGGAAAGTCAGAAGCAAAATCCGTTCCTAGATACCTCTGCCTCCAGTCTCTACTTCCGGTGCATCTTAGTTGAAGTCTGCATGTTTCGAACAACTAGAACTTGTAACTAGTTTCCATCAGGAATGGGGTGCAGCTCAGTGGTACAGCATTCATTCTCCCCCGAAACCAATCCTCAGAACTACCCCAAACACATTTCCATTAAAGTAATTGGAAGTGACCTTTTCATCTTACACTGAATTAGCATACAACATAGGTAAACATGAAGGAGGTTATGCTGAATGTAGACAGACAAGTGCTGCATGATCTCACATGAGAAAATCTAAAGCCATCAGACCAGAACCAGACTAGAGTGATGAAGGCCAGTGCAGCTTACAGTTTTAAGAAGACTGTTGGAGCCTCGTGATAGCATGGTGACCTAGTGACTCACTGCCTGATCAAAACTGGTTAAAAGAGTAGTAGCTCTTGGATATTTTTACCACATACACAAAGGGAACCGATTGCAGGTGATGTTTATGTTAAATAGCCTGATTATGACGCTCATCACACACTATATACACTGTCACTACTTGGTGTGCCTTGCATATATAATTTTGTCAATTATGCCTCAGCAAAGATGAAAAAAGATAAATCACTGTAAAAATGAAACCATACTTTACATACTATTCTATCTATAAAAAAATATTTTAAACCTATTTTATTTCTCAGAGGAGAAAAATACTATGCATTTAGCTGTAAAATAAAAGATCATTTTCTCTACTCAATATATTCTTTATGCAGTAACCCAATTTTAGTTTGATGTAAACAACTAAATAAATGTGACTGCCTAACAACCATATTCCTCACTTTGATTAAAAAAAAAAAAATCCCAGTCATTTTGACATTGAACATGTCACCTGACATACACTAAACTCAGCCTCAGGACGTCATCAGTGAAGTTTGCATGCACCCCTGTGAGGAGGAGCAGCAGAGGGAGGAAAAGACCATGGAGACGCTGAACTGTTGTCCATAGGAAGGGTAGGAATTGAGAAGGAAGACATCCCTGTAGTGCTGGTCTTCACAACAGGCAGGAGATGGGTATTTATGCATGTATTTACAAGAAAGTCAAGTTCAGTAGTAAGCAAGGCCTCCCTTCCTCTTCCCCCAGGGCTGGGCCCTGTGATATGAGCTAGAAACAGGGCAGTGTGTATGTGTGTGTAAATCTTTCACTATATCTCAAACCACTTCTTACTGATTTTCCATAAGAAGAGATTTGGCTGGCATTTGCCATCTTACAGTATAAACTGTACCTAGCTCTTTCTATTGTTCCTAATGGAAGCAAAGACCAATCATCAGGAGTAAATTATTGAATATAATAATGTTTTAATAGCAGAAAAGAGACACAAATAGCAATGCCTGCAGCTAAGGAGAAAAGAGGCGGATCACTCTCCAGAACAGGTGATGACCCCATGCGTTAATGACATTTTCCAGGTGAGCCCACTTTCAGGAGTGATAAGGCTCCCGTTTCCTAATGTTGGTTGGTAACAGAGTCTGCAGATAGTCAGCATCTCTCCTTCAGAGCTGTCATGTGTTTCTCTTCCTGAACCTGGCTACTTTGGACCAGTAATCTTTTACTCTCCAAGCAAAATCATTATTAAATTGAATGTACTAGTCAACTGTGCTTCCACTGAACCGTGCTCTGCCAGGTTGGAGAATTAAACGCTAAAGCCCCAAGGCATCCATTGTGTGTACTGAATTAGCTCCCTCTCATTAATCCAAGCTGGTACTAGTTATGTATCATTCTTGGGAGTGTTGAGAAGAGGCACTGAAGCGATTCTCTGTGTCCTGTGGCTCAGTCATCCACCCCCTCGACTCCCACCCCACCAGCAAGAAAATGAGGGCACAGCTTTGGCTTCCACTCCTGTTGCCTCGCTTACCCTCTGAACCTTCTGGAATCACTGTGCAGGAGAGTGGAAGGCTTTGGAGCTATACCTCTGCGTTCACATCCTGCTTTTGTCACTTTGTAGCAACAGTGACCATGTCCAATTTGTCCAATTAGCCACTGAAGTGAGATTAATAGTTAGACCCATTTCACAGGGTTCTGTGAGAGTCAAACTGTGTAACACAGAGTAAGCATTTAGACCAGCCACATAGAAGTCCACCATCAATGCCGCTGTTGTACTCTTAGGAGATGGCTGGGCAGAAGGAGGCCAGACGGATCCTTTCTTGGGTCTGTGAGTTACCTACGACTTTGGAACTGACTTTAGAAATGTTAGGAGATCGCAAAGAAACAACTTCAGGCTTCCTCTCTCCCCGTGTGCTGTAAGCATTCAAAAACTGACACAGATCTTGAACACCTGGTGCAGATTCTCCACGTGTGAACCCAGTAGCACCCGCACCTGGAGCCTTACCAGGAGCTCCGGTTCTTCCAGAGGCGTCTGTGTCGCTCAGATGTCTGGCCAAGCAGTCTGGCCCAGCTGGCCCTCCTGTTGTTTCTGAGTGTTTCCCAGTTGTAAACCATTAGCAAGACAGTGTTCCAACCTTCCAGTGTGTGCACTTTCCCTGGAAAGACAGATCTGGAAATGAGCAGTTTGGGGTTCATATTATAGGGTGATGGCCAGGTCTGCTCACAAACATCTTCTCTTTGATATTTTTATTCTTTTGAGAGTTTTATACATGAGTACTGTGCTTACTTCATTTCCTCCCCTCTCTCTCCATTCCAACTCTCTCCGTGATTCCCTGACTCCCTCCTAAATTCATGACCTGTTTTTTAAATGCACGCACGCACGCACGCCTTTCTTTGTTCCCTACAGGAGTGATTGAACATAAAGGACTTAAATTCTCATATATTGAGATTTTATGTATCATCTCTTCTCAGTATAGACTATGAAAGCTACAAAGCTAAGCTCCTTGTGACTTTTCTGCTTTAAGGTACAATATTTCTTCAAGAAATTAAATGATAACTGAGTTGTTTGTTTAATGTGCTATATCTTAAATTTTGGCAGTAAAAGATATGTTGTCTCTGGGAAGCCCAGGCTACATGCTTGATATGAGTTAGTCCTGAACTTGCAAGCTTGTTCTGCTAATAACTGGGACTTCTGCTAGACACATGGCGGAGGAAGCTGGCCATGATTCCCAGGGTCCTTTTGTCCACATCAGGATCCTCGTAGAAATGTGAGGAAGCAGTTTTTCCCACAGTGGAGATCAGGTCTGCACATGGAATGGTTGGAACCTCTCCTTTTCTTTCCATGTTGTAATGTACTGTCCTGTGCCAGATACTCCATGTCCTTTCCTCTGATGCCAGTGGCATTAGAGACCTCCCCAGGGACACCTTTGAATCTTTGCACTGATTGCACAGTAGATCTTGTGGCCAAGTCGAAAGAAAGGAAGGACTTAATGTCACATCAGAATCCAGCACTGAGGTTGCCTTCCTTTCTGAGCCAGCATCTCTGCCTCCCTTCTGCCTTTAGGAACCTAGTTAATTACATCCCTAGATAGCTTGGCCTCCTCGATCATCTGGACAGGACCTCGGAGGAGGGTCATTCTAACCTGTGTTTCCAATCAAGTGGTTCAAAGGTCTCAGGTGTTCTAGAGGACAAATGGACTCTGGAGACCCTAGATGGCTTCCTCATCAACCCATTGCTGTGTTCTACTGCCTTCTGTTAATGTGGGGTTTCTAAATATTAAGTATACAACAGCCTAGTGAATGAAAAAATTAAAATACATGGTATTTTAAAAATATTATTGAAATGAGTTACTTTTATTTCTGTGCGGTTATAGAGGGAATATGGCAACTAAACCAGCTAGGAAAACACTCTACTATTGATCTACATATCCCTAACACTTACCCAGCTTTAAGTATGAATAAAGTTAGGTAGAAAGAGGAGCCAGGAATGTGTGAACTGAGCCCTGAGATTCAGGGCAGGGATTGTCTTCACCCAGCAGTTATAACTGAATTCTGCTGCTTCTCCAGACACTCCAAAGCTTGTGAACACAGCATCAGACTGGTCATCCAGAACTTGGAGAATTTAATATTTGAAGTTTATTCAGTACCTCAATCTTTTTTTTTCCTGCTTTCAACCATTGCATCAGGAAGAAATCTAGAGTTAATTATTTGTGAGGCAAGTATATTTGTTGAGCACTCTGTGCTCAAGGACATGCTTGATATAAAATAGAGTGTAATCATTATCCTGACTATTCTGATTTTACATAGAAAGTAGTCCCTCCAGTTCAGTGTTGATGGATCAAAGATGCTGTGTACACATCTTCCTCAGCCTCACTTTGAC